GGCGCCAAGCGCGGAGTCTCAGAGCAAGATCTCTGCAAGCGAGGTGGAGGTTGTGTCCGAGGAGGAAGAAAGTCGCGCCGCAAAGAGGGATTCTTTCCTCCGTAGCGCGGTCTTGGCCAGGAAGAACAAGGATTCTCCCGCAGTAGAGGTTTTTTCTTTTAATGACTCTACCCCCAGCTTCGGTCGAAGCCGGTCTAAGCGTCGAAAGGTGGCGATGAAACCGGGTTTTACAAGACGCCGCACGACTCCTGTCGTGCTGGTTAGCTCGGAGGAAGATGACCGCAGTATGTCGGCTAGAGACTCCAACGGGGAAGCGACGCAGCCGTCTCCAGCCGACGAGTCGGCCAGAGCAAAGCAGAAGAAACAAGAGGATTCCTCCGTTCTCCTCGAAAGTATGTCTCCGTCGGACATTGTGGAATTTGTCCGTACGGAGAAAAAAAAGTTTGTGATTACGTCATCCGGTGCAAGCGGCTGCAAAGAGGTTTTATCTGCGATTTTAAAAACTCCGCGGCGTCTGTGAAAAGAGCAGCCGAAGTTCTGGCGTTATGTGTTGCAGGGGCCCATGACGTGGGGTTACGCTTGCGAGTGAGACACGCGGAGAAACAAGCCGCAAAACATGGTGGTCAGCTTTGGCAATTGGAAGCAAAGAACCGTATTCTCCGACGGGAGATGGACGACCTCTGCCAACAATTTGAGCAGCAGGTCACGGCGGTTTCCTCCGTACGGTGGCAAAAAAGCCAGGTCGTGAGGTATCCGTCCAGACGGACGTCCTTAAAGGCCTGTCGGTCGTGGCAGTGGAGGTTCTTCCTTTTAGGATGGTCATCCCGCCGGCGGTTCGGCTAAAAGTAAGCGAGACTATCAAGATTCTGGACGGCCTTCGAATTGTTCCGGACACTGGCGGCGAAGACGGCGCGCTCCAGAGTCGCGTCGCGGCCATTGAGCGCCAGCTCGGGGAGGTATAGGAGCAATGTTGCCAACTCTACCGACTTCGCCCTTACTAGATGACGCTGTGAATCCTACTAGAATCCTACTAGACTCGGAAAAAATTTAAAATATAGCGCCGGGATGAACGGAGTGTGTTTGTGGCGCAATTATGGAAATAAAACTGCAAAAATGCAATATTTCTTTTGCAATAATTGTTCATTTTTTTTTAATTTCAGCTTTACAAACTTATAAAACTGTTTACAAAACGTAACAAAACTTTGTTTACAATCCTTTGATTAAGATTTACAAACTTCTACAAGAGATCGAAGGGGAGAACATTATCAACGTCCTTCTCGTAAGTCTCCAAGCAAAGTGGCTTTACCTCCAAGATATCGTTCTCACAAGTAGACGTAGACTGGGTGACAATGGCAGTGGCATAAGCTGCCATGGTGCCAATCTGAGAAAGGACTGAGTCCGGAAATACGTATTTATGGCAGCAAGTTTTCATCCGACGGAGACCGGCTCGGATAGTCAGAATAGCATTAAGAGTATTGTCGTGTAGCCTGTTCCTGTGCGGGGATTTTATAATATTCATGTGACTGAATCCCCGCTTAATTTCAGCGTTAGACCAAGGCAGCACTAAACAACTAATAGCAAAGTTTGCCAGTTCTTGGAATGGATTTTCTTCCACAGCATCTTTGTAGTGTAATACTTCAGCCCAGAAAGGCACAGTTTTTTTTATATTCTCCCATTGCACAAAGGAGATTTTAGACCACTGTATTTCTATTTTAGAAATAATATCGGGAGGAACTTTCATGAGTTCAGCCAAAGGAGTCAGGAGAGACTTCACTGTACGTAGGCACTTCTCAAGTGATAGCAAGGCCACATTCTGAAGAACCTCGACATTGTCGGGTAGTCGTTGCTGCAGTTGAGACACAAGAGCGATAGCAAAGTTTATGCAGATCTTCCTGATCTTGATTTCATTCTCGACTTTGAGCGATCCACTTTGGCGGATTTCTCTCATCCGATTTTCAAATGCAAAACCTAGCATTGGTCTAGAATGCAAATGATTCTTAATGTTTTCTTTTAGTAGATTTTCTTTGCATCCTGTAACACCTATTATTTTTGCTATCCCTTGGATGAGAAGAGTCAGAGATTTGAGAAGCTTTACTGGATCAGCTTCATTTGACTGAAAGACTTTGTTTGCCTGTAGAACAGAACAAACGATAGCGTTTATTACTTTACTGCACTATAGCATTATCTCCTAAGCAAGCAAGTGGCAAAAAAAGAAAAAAAGAACTCCATCATCACCTTTTGGGCCTCATCCAAAAGCGGCTCCAAGAAGAGCAGGTATAGTTCATTGCAAACATTGCCGTACATTTGCGAAAGGACATCTGCCTTGTAGCACTTGTCTTTTACTTTCCACAGCTCGAAGTGCATTCCTAGTTCTTGTCATTGACTCAGAATGCGCTTTACTACCTGATGGATAGACAGCCAGCGCGTTTCAACCACTCTAAAGATCTTCAATGGATTCGCACCATCATTTAAGCAATTGTACAACGCTTGGTAATCCGCTTGACGGTCAGCTGATCTGAACATAAATCAAAGTTGATAAAAGAAAATGAAATAAACTATTTTCTCAAATCATGACACTTACCTTGAAAACCATGAATAGGTATCATTGACAAGATATTTTAAATGCGGTGGCATTCTCTCCTTCACTGCAGCAGAGACAGCTAGTTGGATAGAGTGGCAGACACAACGGATTAGGATTAAATGAGAAATTTCTGACTTTAATCTTTGGTACACGCCCGAATTGATTTCTGCGGAAGAAGGAAAGTATTCAGAAATTCAACCACGAAAATGTAACATAAATTTAAAATAGCAGTTCCAGCACAAGAATAATTGCATCGTCGATACTCTATGCGGGGTCACGCGGAGTATAGTCGTAATAGCTCTTTCACCTGTTATTGCTCACCACTACAATGGTTATTAGAGCACACTTACCTGTCATGACTGACGCATTGTCCGATCCAATACCACGCATTTTCAAAAGATTTAGGCCGTATTCTTGTAGAACTTCTTTGACACCTTTGGTAATAGAGGCTGCATCCGCTGTCTCTATGTGATGAATCTGGAGAAAAGTAGATACAACTTTGTCTTGCTCCTTTGAAAAATAAATAATGGCGACACCAAGTTGTTTTGAGACACCTATATCTGTTGATTCATCTATCAGTAAGCTATAGTCACTGTCTTCCATATCAGTTTTAAGTTTTTCTTTAAAATGAGGTGCAATGATGTTTCTTATGATGCCGGTGCACTTTGTGCGTGCAAGGCGAATCTCACTCACATCTTCAGCTGTTTTAAAAATTCTTTTTTTAGAACAGAGAGATGATCTGTTGACCGCAGGGCACAATGACAGATGACAAGCATAGCCATCTCGGCTTCAGCCTCGATTGTTTTCTCAGACAGCTTCGGTGCTGGCTTAAAAAGAATCTTCATTTGACGTGGAGTTAAGAAAGCCTCAGCAGCAGATATGTTTTTTGGTTTTTGTGTGCTCTAACAGCAGATAATAATGAGCCTTCAAAATGCATTTGCAGTATTTGCAATAAGCTCTTGTACAATCAGTTGGCACAGCGTTAATCCAACCCTTCAAAGTCTCATCATTTTCCCATGCTTTCCTGAACTTCTGAGTGTTTGGTAACTTTTTCGGCATAGTTCTGTTGATAATTTAATCTATAAAGTAAGATCAAAAACTAAACTTAATTTAGCCTTTTTATCCTTTCTCTACTGTCCTAGTTGCTAGAACAAGTTTTCTTCAGTAAAACTTAGTCCATGACTACATACCGTCTTCTCGCGGCGTTTTTAAATAAAAGCAGCAACCACAAAATAACAGAAGTGCTAATTAAGAGAAAGACAAAATTTACAAGTACAGACTTGTTGTTGTAGTGAAAGGCGCGACAGTTGGCGGTACGGGATTCTCCTCGACACTAGCGGTACTAGTATTAATGAAGTAACGAAGCTCACGGACGCGGAGAGAACTCACACACCGTTCATATAATGGAGATAAACAACGGACAAGGATAGCAGGATATTTGAGATTTGTCTTAGCATTTTGGGGCTGTCCAGTTAAGCAAGAGGAAACGAACAAACGCAGGAAATGCAGGAAATACAGGAATTGAAATGCAGGAATAGCAGGAATTGAAAGAAGTCGAGAAAGTAGAAAAGAAGAAAAGAGGAGGTGGCTCCCTGATTTGTTGCGGAGCATGCGCAGTAGCAGTAGTCTGCATTTCAATTCCTGCATTTCTATTCCTGCATTTCAATTCCTGTATTTCCTGCATTTTCTGCGTTTGTTCGTTTCCGTCTTGCTTAACTGGACACAGCCTGGCAATCCTACTAAAAAATCCTACTATCTGCTGACGGCATTTTTCTCCTACTAGCCGGCTTCCCAAAACTACCAGAGTTAGTAGAAAAACTACTGACTTGGCAACACTGTATAGGAGTTGCTTCATCAACTCCTGAACGTAGTAGCCCCTGCCGGGGGTTTAGGTAGCGACGGTGGCGGTTGGCCGCCCAGGCTCCGAGCGCCAAAGGGAAACCCTTCGGAGGGCGATCCAACCTCTGCCAGAGCCGGAACGGCCGAGGGTACAAAGGACGAGGCTCATAGGAGGAGGCCTCCTAGCGTGGGGTCTGCGGTTGTTTCCTCTGAGAAAGCGACGTCCGCGACACGCCCGGCAGCTCCCTCTGACTCCGGGGGAGCTGGCTGGGCAACTGTGGCACGTCGCGGTAAACGCGCTGCCAAACGCAAAGCAGGTGAGGAGGCCACCCGGGGTCCGGAGAAGATTCGGGGGCCGAGCAAGAATCAGCAGCGTCTGGCTTCTGCTAGTGGAAGTGGTCGCCGTTGCCGACGCCGACAAACGGCCGCGGCGGTAGCCATACGGTGCGCTCCGGACGATTTGGGCAAGACCGCTTTTTACGCGGATGTCATGCGCATAGCGAGAGCGTAAGTCTCGCTAACTAAGCTGGGCATCGAGGAGACCCGCATCAGAAAAGACGCACGAGGCGGAATTCTAGTGATGATCTCGGGCCCCGACGGCGTGGCCAAGGCCGTGCGTCTGGCCGAGGCCTTAACCCCCGCGCTGCAGGGGAAGGCTGTCGTGAGTCATCCGGTCCGCAAGGGTGAGCTGCGTCTTACCGGGCTCGACGACTCAGTGACCACCGACTACTTAGTGGCGAGTTTGAGCTCCGTCGAGTTCGGAGGCTGCCAGACGTCGAACATTACGCTGGGTTCCGTGACCGAGGGCAAGGACCGTCTTGGCGCGGTGTGGACGAAATGTCCACTAGACGTGGCGACAAAAGTGGCCAAGGTCAGCCGCCTCCGCGTGGAGTGGTCGAACATTAACGTGTCTTTTGCCTGGCCGCCAGCTCTAGTGCTCAAATGTCTGGAGTTTTGTCATGTCAGACAGACGTGTAAAAACACGGCGGCAGGGGGTTCAAACTCATCTTTTGTGAGAAGAAGAATGCTGTTTTCAACGCCGCCTGGGACATGGACCAGGAAGTACCAAACTAAAAACGAGTGGTGGGAGATTGGTGGCCATATTTAAACCGTATTGCGCGTGTGTGCCCCGTACATATAGATAGATACTTATAGATATTAACAATAAAGTTAAAAATTTTTTGAGCGATGTCGCAAAATTTAATGTTACTAAAGTTATTTAAGACTGTATAATAATTATGTTTAACAATTAGTAACAATTACAAACTATTTTTAAATTATTAATCTTGAAACAGTAAGATAACAGTAAATAGTAAAACTTAACCACACCGCTCAGAAACTTATTTTTTTGATGTTATTATTTTGTGTACTGAAAATAAAAATATTATTAAAAGGATATAATCAATATCTTATATGGTAATAAAATAGCATTATTAGTTTCTTCAATGTTTAACAAAAATAAACAATAAATTAAAAAATATTAAAACGCTCGTGATGTAAAAACAATATAGTATATCGTTGAGTAAGGTCAATATCGAGCAAAAAACGTGATGACAGTATAAAATTATAATATTCAAACGTAATATATTATATAATACATATTATGCAAGTGCGAAACGTTTTGACATTCACTGATGTCCTCATCAGTCGCAGTGTACAAAAAGTTAAAGTTGAGATGTCATGGTGTGTTATATATAAGGCAGGTGGTCGTACCTCGTGTAATGTTCCTGTCGTCACAATGCAAAATTAAAAAATGAAGTCAAAGTACACAATACTAACAAAACATAAAATATAAAAGTCAGAAGAAGCTTACACTTGAACGGTAAAGAGTCAAATGATAGTCAAAGGCAAGAGACAAACATATTTATTTTATTTATAATCTTACTGGAAGAATCCGTTGGATTTAAGTTTTAGACAGAGTCATTTTGTTTAAAAGATCAAAGTAAGCGTTATTCAAAGATTCGGTGTCTGTTACTAAATTGAGACTCTGATGTTGTCGCTTAATGTAAACAGTCTCAGAAATTATTCTTTTATAAAAATTTGGTTCTCTGTCTAAAATCTTAACATTATCCCAATCNAAAGAATGATTAAGTTGTAAGCGGTGTTGAGAAACGACGGAGAGCTGAGCTGTGTTTTTCGATATGTAATTTACATGCTCTTTCAATTTTGTTTTTAATTGTCTCTTAGTTTGACCAACATAAGACGCACAACAATCATTACAATTTATTTTATATACGACATTAGAACTCGAAAGATGAGGGGTGTTATCTTTGTGAACTTTAATTAAATTTAGTTTATTAAAGCATCTGTATCCAGACAAAACGTCCGTGTTATGAGAGGCACGCTTCACACTTTCAGACAAGTGTTTGATGTATGGAAACACAATAATTCTTTTGTTATTGTCATCGACACGAACGTCCTCATGATATTTTGATTTTAACTTTGAATTAATCAATTTCTTAATTCTAGAGTTAATGTTATAAAAAAATTAAGTCAAGAAGATAACCGTTATTTAACAAAGTATTAATGCAAAATATTAAGTTTTTTTCATGGAAGTCAGGATGAGATAATAATAAGGCTCTGTCGACCAAGCTGTAGATTGAACCTCTCTTGTGACACAATGGGTGATGTGACAAAAAGGAAAGATATCTACCGGAAGAAGTTTTTTTATGGTGCCAGTCTATTTTTAGAAAACTGTCAGAAACATGAATTGATAAATCTAAAAAAGTTATGTTACGATTATCCTCTAGTTCAACGGTAAATCGAAGTCTACTATGAAAGGAGTTAAAAACTTTAATAATTTCGTCAATTGATTCAGAAGGAGCTGCTAAAATAATATCGTCAACATATCGATAAAAAAATGGAATTTTTAAATTTATTAAACTTAATGCTTTGTTTTTGATATCTTGTAAAACGATATCTGCAATTACCGGCAATAAAGGTGAACCCATAGGGGTACCGAAAGTGTGTTTGTAAATAATATTGTCAAAACTAAAATAAGTTGACGAAAGGACAAATGAAACGGCGATTATATGAATTCATTAAGTGGGATCAATATGTTGTTTTTAATATAATCCCATCTGTTCTTAATTTCGTCAATAGCTAAGTCAATTGAGACGTTCGTAAACAATGAAACAACATCGAGTGACATTAGGATATTGAAGTCATCGAGTTTAAAAGAAGAAAGTTTTTTGTATAATCTAAAACTGTTATCAATATTACTATTCGATGCAGAGATATAATTTTATACTGTCAACACGTTTTTTGCTCGATATTGACCTTCCTCACCAATAAACAATAAAACTAAAAATACAATTATTTAAAACAGTAGCATATATATAACTAATATCAGGTTTACCGGAAAGTTCTGTCCGTTTCTATCACAACAAGTTTCGAAACGTAAGCACATGTTTATTTGGCGCATGTGTGCCTCTCTATTTTTATCACTTAATGTATACATACTGACGTAGCAAATTAACTAAAACAAAGTTGATTCACGTTAGTTTTATGTGTGAAGCAAAAGTGTACCCATGGCTACTGATAAAGTTCATTTACGCCACTGTATTTTATACAAATTTCAACAAGAAAAAAATGCTACAGAAGCATGTAGAAATTTATTGAAAGTGTTTGGTAAAGGTGCAGTTTCTGATTGGACATGCAGAAGATGGTTCGAAAAATTTGAAACAGGTAATTTCGACCTTTCTGATAAGCCACGTTCTGGGCGACCATCTTTGATCGATGACGATGTTGTTAAGACCATGGTGGAGCAAGATCTTTTTCTGACAACAGAAATCATTAATAATAATGGCAATTATATTATTTAATAAAGTTTATTGACGGTAAAAAAATTTGTATTTTGTTTTATTCCAAAAACAGACAGAACTTTCCGGTAGACCTAATATATAACATTATATACATAACTAATACAATATAACATTGTAGTATTTAATTTAAATGTATTTTACTAATTTAATTCTAAATTATATATTTATTAATCATATCTTTTAACAAAATATAATTTGTATAAATGTTTTGCAAAACATTTTCCCATCTCACTTTTAACAGACTGCGGACTGTTAGATAAAAACAAAAAGTATCTGGTGTGGTTAAAAGATGTGATGCAAACACATAATTTGTGTATCAACGCATCATAAAATAAAACATGCAACTATCCACACATTACAAACAATACAAAATCATGATAAACACAACACGCAGAATACATTAATAATTATTATCTAAATGTACATAATAAACACACGTAATAAAATGCAGAAAGATAACTTTCATAACCCATACATTATTACATGCCGTTTTTCACTTCCAAAACATACTCTTGCTTACAGAATATACTCTCTTTGTAGAAGTTATTCTATAAGTATTCTATTCATACTACTACACTTCTTCTCAGATGCAAACATGTTCTGCTTTCGCTAAAACTTTGCATCTTTCCTCCGATCTCATCTCCACCCACTTACCACCACACTGCCTGAAGGCATGCCTTCACCTAGGAAAACACGATTTTTTCAGGTAGATGATTGATCGGAGTAGAAAGACCTACCTATCTCTATTATTAAGCTACTCAAATTTATTGAACTCATACTCACATACGTACTCACACCATACATCTGTTGTATAAAAACTGTTGTATAAAAAAGTATAATAATTATAAATATAAATTTAAAAAAATAATTTAAAAAATAATTTTTTTTAGTAATATTGTTGCGCCCGTGAAAGCGGAGATCGGTGTCCAGAACAGTATTATCGGGCACATCGTTTTTTGCGAATGCTATCTTTATAATTGTCTAAGATAATCTTTCTTTTCTTTTTTTGTGCTACATAAGATTCTCGCATGTGCTTAACTTTATTAGAGGTTTCGATTAAATTATGCTGTACTATCTCAATATTAACATCTGAATTTTTTATTAAAGAATTCTTTTTTTTGCACCACCATGTAAGAATCTTAATAGCTAGTATACGCACTATAATTTTATAAATATTTTTATGTTCCATACAGTCATGCCATTTCATATCAATATTATAATTATCTAAAACCTGTAACAATACTTGAAGAATATTTCGCCTATGTGCTTTAGTTTTTAACAATTTATTAATAACGCTCGTAATTTGTCGTATGCAAACTGGAAATTTATTACTCTGTAGACTCTTTTCACACTCTGTACAAAAATCAAGTTGTTTCAAAATAGACCTAATAACGTGATCTTGATTATCTAAAGATACCGCGTTTAATATATTGTCCAAAACATTATTTTCTGAAATTAATTCTAAAACTTCATCATAATCTTTACAAGTTGAATTATCAGTATTGTTTAAATATTTGTCTAATGAAAATAACAAACTATTATCGTCTGATATTTCGCAATTACCGTGTCTTATTGAAACAATTTTCATATTATTGATTAACAAAGTTAAAAAATATTCCTCAAATTGTTTGGGTGTCGGATTAACGTTGCGTACTGCGTGACTTTGAATTTGACCGAAAAATTTTTCTAATGGATCTTGACTGCAATTATGCGTATTTAATGACCGAAATTCATATTTATCGCGAAGAACTTTCCATAGTTTTCGAAAACCGTCTACTGTAAATAACCAGTTTACTAAAGATGGCACCGATTTTACAACATTACATGACACTTTATCTACAAACGACATTTTACGTAACATATTACACGCACTCACCCAAAACGCATGGTGTTTGCTAGTCTCCGTAACTGGACATTGCAGTTCATTATTATTGTGTCTTTTATCGTCTTCATTTACTGAGTCAAATAATTGATAAAAAAAATACACTGCTTCTATTGTTGCAAGTTCTTCTTCTTCGTCGATACTTATATCTTCATTGTTAATTAATACAGTTACTGTAACATCCAGACATAATTTTATTATGTTTTTATTAAAATTTTGTTAAACTACTTTCTTCGTACTAATAAAAATACTCACCTTTTGTTCGTGCAAACGTTTTTATAACGCTAGCCATACGTCCACTTAGCACTTGCACTGCGTGCTTTATTCGCATCTTTTTGATTTTTTCTTCTATTATATGCTCCTGTGTGATATGTTTTAAATGTGGACGAATAATATTTAAAT